GTAAACAAGTTTAGTTACGAAACCCATAGACACACTATTTAAATTCGACGTGCGATACAATATGATGACAGGAAAACAAAAAGGTGAGTCTTGATTTCAGAAGAAATTTTCATCGCTAATTTTTAATTAAAACTCAGTTTCTTGCCTTAGGTGGGAATAATTTTTATGTTTTGACGTCGGGTTTAGACTGGATGACTCCATACTGATGAAACCTTACTTATTTCGTCAGTTTAGGATCATCAACTGTCAGAGCAACTACGGGCAATTTCTCAAACATATAAGCTTTATTGTGCAAAGCTGTTTCTCACCGAAAGCCTCTTAGAATCTGTGAGCACTATTCTGGTAAAACAGATAACAAGCAAGCAAAGTGTTTTTGACGAACACACTTATTTGCAAATTAATTTGGTTTGAATTGTATGCACACAACCACTGTGGCATCAACTGATCGCAGTGCTCTGTCGATGTTCTCATCATATTATCACTCGGTAGAACTCCTGCCCAGTTATGGTGACGCAAAACTGTAGCTGCGTTTATCTGATTTTACAGCAACTAAAGACATTCTAATCGTAAATATCGCGCAGTTACGGGGCGCAGACATGAGAATTATCATGTCTTGCCTTGGTTTTCACGGGCGACTTAACTGAATCTCTTGTTTATGATGTACTTCGACTGAAAGTGCTGCACAAAGACCGCCTCATGTTTCACTTGGTATGATCCTAGAGATATCGCAGTATAAATTTTATACAGGAAACTGCTCACAAGGTTTCTGAAAACGATCCGACAGCCCACGACCGAATTTGCCCCTTTTTGTCGTTTCTGCTTGTTGATGTGTTTACTGAGCTGTGCGGTTCGACCGCGATTCTTTCATCACCTATTGAAATGAAGTCATCTGTGCGTCATTATGGAGCGGAATGAAACGTGGCGGCGAGTCAGTGGTTGCCTCTAAATAAGCCATTTTTCTGAATGAATCTCTAACTACCTAGTCGTTCAATTGGATTAGCTCTCAGAGACCTTAGGCCTACAGTCTCTAGTGGACAGTTTAAGAAACAGTTCTGTTGTTCTGACAGTCATTTCTGCAAAGCATGCAGGCAGTCTTCAGTCCAAGGTCCTGCGACGTCAGCGAACATCATTTCCAAACAGTTGACCATGTCACATTATCAGGCCCGTCTCAAACTCTGCACCTCTGGATAGTTTTTTTTACAGTTCTCAAGCATCCACTAAACTGGCGGGGATTCCTTGGTCCAGCCGATTAGACTGATGACGGAAGCGAGCCAGAAACATGGTTGTGGGTGCGACAAGTAAGAAACTTCCATCCGTGGTGGAACAAAACTACCAGATATGGATCGATAAACCCGTAAAGTTCCACACACTTCACAATATATACAACAGTATTACCGGAAAATAGAAAAAAATGGAGAGATGCGTTTTATGAAGGGACGGCAAACAGCTGAGTCAAGAACCCCTGGTGGTGGATAACAGTGCGGATACAGTAGGCGGAAGAATTACCTGGCTATCTTATGAATGTGTGTGTGGCAGGAATACGGTAGACATTGCAAACTGTTGGAATTTGTCAGTGGCATGAGACCTGAGGACACTTCAGGCAAGGTTTCATCCTCCTCGTTCATCGTTGTGATTGATTTCATTCTTGATGTTATCACTATCTATGAGAATCATCAGAATCTCCAGGGATTTCTGAACTCCCAACATTTGGACTAGTAGTTTGTACATGTTAGTGATCTGAATGTAACTTAATTAGGTTGATTATCAGAAGATGACAAGCATTAGCAAATGTCTGTTTTATCATAATGAAAATGACTACAAAAGTGCACTTGATAAAAATAAACACGGTGCAAGAAGGAAAAAAGCCAGAAAGTGACCTATCGTTTGAGCGCAACTGTTGAGAGTTCCTGAGTGAAGGCGGGACGTGTCTTCTCTGCAGTACTGCTGCCACACGTGTTCCAAAGTTGACCGTGGAGATTTGTGGAGCTCGGTTGACTTAGAGTCCTGTGCGAGCGAGTGTTTTTGGGCCGAGTTGTATGCCTATCTATTTCGTGCAGTGTTTGATACATGAATACAATTTGACCCGATGTGGGTGAAGTTCGGATGTCTGGCGCGTGTCGCAGCTGGTAGCCGTGTAAACAAAAATCGATGGGAAATTCTGGTGTGCGTGTTGTCGGCTCAGGTTGCAAGCAAGTCAGGAATTGTCACGTGACTTGAGTGTTTGTGACGCGTGATCTAGTGAGTGACCGCTACAGATATTCAATCGTTTGGCTGATCAGCAGTGGGACTAACTCGCACTGAGAGAGTGCATGGCCTCACTCGTCCTTCAAGCTTTGGAGCCAAATCTCACTTGAACGTAAAGTGTTGAGGTAAGGTTAGGTTGAGAGAAAGTACACGATGCGGTAGGAGTAACAGATACGTCTGTCGCATTGGATTAGAGAAAAAGTTTAGTGACATTAACTGGAAATTAAGTGTACAGATGTCCATGTTACAGGTATGTGAAAAAGATGTGGGAGAAAACTCCTCTACTTGGCCATAAAAGATAGATAACCACTGTCGGGAAGGTTTCAGTGCTGTTATTTTTTACTCGAAGTAATGTCAGAAGGTGAATAACACAATAAACGGTTGTGTATAGTGGCTACCAGAGACACTTTAGTACAAATGCATAACATACAAAGGAGGAAGGAGACATATCGAGTTCTTCGGTTGATAAGTTGTAGTAGATGATGCCGAGGCTTGCAGGATGCAGTTGTATTGAAAGAGGTCGAGCGTGTTGAAATCTGGCCTATTTCTTGTCGTTTAGTCCAAAACGATATCGAGCCCAGACTTTTCCCGCACAGTGAGTCGTGTGTAGGTTTGAATTTACTCTGGTCAAGGCACTGTGTGAAGTGACGAGCGTCGGCATCGTGCTTTCGTTGTTCCGCATATATATAAGTTTACGTTGTGAGTTAGGATGCGCTTGCATTGCTTGTCTTGGGATAAGATCCCAGTAATCTTGGTTAGTCGTGGGGGCGAATGGTTATGACAGTGGGCATGCATGCTTTAGACAGATTATGTGAATGATTGAAGGTAAACATTGATAAGGTTGTAAACGAACTGTTGAAGATGTTGGAGGGATAGTAACCAACAAAGTTCAGATTCCTCAGAACGCCCGGAACCTACTGAGACCCTAAAACTGCACCAAAATTTCAATAGGAAAGCATCTAGGCCAGTCAATCATTCAATCAGTCCAGCGAAAGCCTATGAGTGTTCATGCACGCCACGCTGACCGAATGTGATCAGCATTAAGGCATTGTATAGAGACACGAACGATGTTGATAGGTGTTCACTAACGCCTATCAGACAGCGTGGACCAATGTCAGAAAGTCCCCTTCAAATAGCGTGGGGCCGTTGTAACTTTTGCTCTCGCACTCGCACGCACTCACGATCTCGTACTCGCTTGTTCGGAATATAGCTGTCGTGTCCCCTTTTGTGAATCTTTTTTTCGGCACTAGGCACTGGCGCGGGTCAGCACTGGATACCATAGATTGGCGAATTAGCAGGCGTAACAGCCACGCAGGCTAGGGGCCGCGTTAAAATGGAGTGCAAAACACGTCTGTTGTCATGTGAGGCTGTGGAAGTGCGTTCACGGGGTTGAAAACGCCCGAGTCCGTTTGTTGTGATAAACAACTGCTGGAAACCTAAAATTGCGGGCAATTCAGTTGAACTTCACATGAATCACTCGTCTATAGTACTGTTCTTCTAGACGCTTGGGTAGCTTTCAGCTGTTCTGCCGCTTCATTTTTTGACTTATCGCTTGTCCAAACATGCCTTCTAACTGGCATTCGGGTAGGAAGCAAGGTCGCGGAAGGTGCGGGGAACAGACTTGTCTGAAGAGCCCGAAGCAGAATGAAACCAAGTGTGAAGAATGGAGAGGTAGTAATGAGTTGTAGTCGTTTGTTTATTCAATGAGTGAAGGATGAGTATGTAAATTCAGGAGCTTGGGTTGGCGGGACGTTCAAGGATATGAAGATATCGGCACTAGTAGCCTGCCGAGGGACCGCCTGAACCACTGGTCTTTATTGGATATGTGATCGTGGTTAGTATGATAGTATTATACATACATGTATAGTGTAAACTTGATGTACATGATTGGGAGAAGGCGACTGAAACGTGGAACTCCAGCAAGTTGTTCTTATCTCGATGAGGTGGATCCGATAAATCCGACTTTCAGGTGAGAGCCGAAACTGATCTACTGCTGGCAATAGAACAGTTTTTATGTGGAAAAATTCCTATTTGCAAAGCTCATCAAAGTGGAATTTCGAAAACCCATAGAACTGGACATGAGTAGTAATCGGAAAGTCAATAATATGTTGAAATAAGTATATGGGTACTTGGACCTGTCTCATTGATTATCGGACCATAGGAATTTGATATAACTCAGTGGTTAAGGGGAGAACTTTTAAACAGGTAGGTACATAGTCTTTTAGGTGTAACAGACTTTTTTGGCACGCCGTCAGGCCATCCAAGGGAATCACAAGGTCTGAGGAACTGTCAGGTTGCCGAAGTCTATACAGGAGCATTCGAGGAGCCAGGGTGGGATTGGAACCAGAGACCTACCTTCGAGAAATACACTCATTTCCAAATCGATTTGGTTTTCACGAGAGACTCAACTGAATCTCTCATAAACGAGAGATTCAGTTGAGTCTCTCGTGAAAACCAAATCGATTTGGAAATGAGTGTATTTCTCGAAGGTAGGTCTCTGGTTCCAATCCCACCCTGGCTCCTCGAATGCTCCTGTATAGACTTCGGCAACCTGACAGTTCCTCAGACCTTGTGATTCCCTTGGATGGCCTGACGGCGTGCCAAAAAAGTCTGTTACACCTAAAAGACTATGTATCACGATTATCAACCACAAGTTACTTACTATCTGTTACCTGTTTCTTCATTTGCCATATAAGCTCATTCGAGTGTATAACATTCAATCACCGGATTAATTTTACCCTAATCTGCCTTCTAGAATGGCTTTTTTGAAGGTACTGGAACAGAAATTCGAGACCATTGACAGGAATCACGACGGGAAAATAACTTTGAAGGAACTGTCGGAGTTCCTGGTCGCCTTCGGTTTTCAGGCGGGACAGGCTCAAGTACGTTACTCGTGATATATCCAAAGCTCGTTCTGTGGTCATTTTGTCTCCCTTTAATGTTCACTTATGATTAGTAGGGTTCTGTAAATCTCTCAAAGAGTTCATGACTAAGTTCGATGGTTTCAGGTGACCCGCCGCCTTTTGCTTGTCAACTTGATGTTCTTGGTCGCCGAAGCCATGGTTTAAATTCCCTTGTGAAGGCCCAAGCCTAAGGAGGAACACCATATTCTCGGGACTCCTTATGGTGGTATCATGGCCTTCTGTCACGCATATGCTACTGAGGAGAGAATAGATGATTCAAGTATGGGCATAGGCAACCAGATTGCTAATATTCCATCGTCAGTCAAGGTGATTTGGACAGCATGTTTTTGTGAAGGGAGACAAGCGGTCAGCTGCAACGCGTTGTGGTACAGTGTGATGCGATGCACTGTGGTGTGGTGCTGCAGGTCAGAGAGGATAGCATGGCCTCAGCCCCTGCCGCCAATCGGGCGTCCGTGGAGCTGTCGAGATGCGGGACAATCACTGAATCGTCCTTCTTGGCATTTGGCAAGTGTTTGAACGTTTAGTCACGCGTGTTTAGCGTACATCAGAGAGGAATTCTCTATCACGTCACCTTTCTGGGTTTCCAATCCCAGTGAATTTAAGGGAAAATGCCCTGCTTATGAGCCCCAAAGCGAGTGGACATCGACTCCAATGCGGAACAGAATCATCGGACCATGATAAGTTGAATTCGTGAGCGATATTTGTCAATGAGATCGATAAAGTGCTCCAAGTCTCTTTCTAGCATGGATCATCCGTATCGTCATGAATAAGTTCATGTCGAAAGTAAACAGTTCAACCAAGCATCGGAGATGGTTCGTGTGTACATAGTTACAATCTCTTGAGATGAGAACATTGGGTCGTAAGACATGCAATCCTTATATACCAGTCCCAAGTATGGATTGGCATAGTTGCACATTCACGTTTGCCTCACATCTACAAAGGTAGATATTTTTTGCAATGCGACACAAAGTTATGAAGATTGAAAATCCGCCCCGTATGAAACAGTCATCACTGTTGTTCTCACTGTAAACTGATTTGTCAGGAGTTTCGGGGAGAGATGAAAACCCCCCAAACTGGTGGTAATTGCTTCATAGACAACTGACTGAGACTGACACGCTATTAAGATAACGAACAATGTTAAAATTAGTGGTGTGGTTTGGTTATTTGAAAAGGCATTTGTAGTCTTAGTTGATGATCAGTGAAAGCTATCAAGTCACACGAGGAAGTGGAGTTGATTGTTAGCTACTACAGATTACTTGTAGTACGTTAGCAGTCAACTCCGATTACGGAGTTATCGACCGTAATCTTTACAATAGGTAGCAAAGAATCGATACTGAGGAACAGTTTCAGACAGCATGGTTTGCTTGCCACAGTGCAAATGGTCAAGGTCATTGGTGCGGATTTGTCAGCTGATTACCATATGAAATCTGTTTTCCTGAATGGGTTCAAAATGGTTTGGCCAGCCCTGCACTATTTGTTGAAGCTTGCCACAGTTACAATGAGGGGGGGGGTTAAAGCTAATGAAAATCAACTTTAGCGTCTCTAGTAGCAACGCATCGTGTTCAAAACTTAGGACAGGGGTCGGAAACCGACGGGACCGCAACTGTGTGAGTCCCATGACACTACCCGGTTTAACGCGGAGCACGGGGTTGAACAACGCACCATGCATGTAGTTCTGGGTAGAAAGTATACTACTCATGTGGGAGCATTCTAAATAATCCATAAAAAGAGGAACGGACATGGGCTCGAGTGCCTCTGTCACTGGATCTCATGAGTGCGGCTAACTGGGCAGTGCCCAAGCTTGAGAGCAAGGCCTAGCGTGCTAGGAGTTTTACTGAGCAGTGCCCACAAGTAACGATGGAAAATTGTCCATAAGGCTACAAGCACCCGTGACGTTACGTGATCAGCCAGCTGGTTATGCTTACCCGGCTCCATTTTCAGTCGGTCTGCTATAGTTAAAGGTAGGTACTTGTAGAGGGGACTTTTTTGTCTCCCTGTTAAGGGTGCTAGTGCCAGAATCGCTAGGTGTGACCCGATTGGCGAAATATACTCAGTTGCAAACAAATTTCGTTTTGCGAGAGATTCACCTGGAACCCAGCTGAATCTCGCGTTTGTAATGTTTCCAGGCAACGGAATGTGGTGCACCAGGCCGTTTCCGTTGCTACGATATTCGAGAAATCGGGATACATGTATAGATATAGTGTACTACTCATAAGGCTGCTGACGGATTGTCGACGAATTTTCAGCAACCTCATGAGTAGTGCATTACGAATATACATGAGTCGATTGAGTTTTATTGAAAAAGATTTTGTGTTAGTGAACTCAGTGCTCTTTAAGTGGATATCTTTGCTAAATTCGAAAGAGTACTATAATATCTAAGGAGAACCTCACGGGAATTTCTCCAATTCATATCGAGAGGTTGCCTAATGACTGCCTATTTAAGCCTATTTGCCTGGAGCCGGTCTTATAAGTACTCCTAAAACCTGGTTAGCCCGTCCCTTCTGGAAGTATTCAAGAGTGGAGCACAACTTACCTAGAAATCGGTCCCAAACGTTTCACATCGCCAACAGCTTCTTCTGTTGAACGTGTACCGATATGTTAAGATTTTTTGCCTAGGAGATTTGTATACAGCTGAGACACGAATTGTTCTTCGCCACGATACCTGGCTCGTGGAGGCGGGCAGAAATGCGAATCCAAACTGGTACAGACCTTACCCTACCCTTTTGGTTGTTTATGATGGAGTACTGTTTGTCACATCACTCGCCTCCTCCGTGCAATTCCAAATGGGTAGGGGTCAACTTTATGCTTGTGCTTCTTCTTATGTTGGTCACAGATGAGAAGTTGGGCAGAAACAACAGTGGTTTGTACACATAAGCATTGGACAGAATACTTCAAGTGTAACCGTTTAACTTGACGGTTGGATAAAGCCACATATCTAAGGGTTGAATAAGCTGCCTCACTAGAGTCTGTGGCCTGAAGTACTCTCAATATGAGACTGATATTAACCTTCCCTGAGGCAAGAAATTGTATGTGTTTTCAAAGTAGCCTCTTTCTGAAGATGACTCCCTAAAAAACAGAAGACCTCAGAGAAGCGAGCATCCATGGTCAATATCTTGAAGCACACACATAAACAGTAACTTCACCTTCCCCTCACTGCGCGTGTCAGGTCATGGGTTGTCGATTTTTCGATATGATCCCTCAAACTGTCGAAAAGCTTAGACACTTTTTAGAATTTGGAGAAAAAGTTGGGCTATCTGCATCATACCCGTTAAACTGATAAAGTCTGTTAAACTTTCAGGAATGCATGAAGAAAGTCGACACGAACAAGGATGGAGTGATTTCAAAAGAGGAATTTCTGGCGGCCGTTCGACATTTCAAACCAGAAAAGTTCTCGTAAGTATCAATGTGAACCTTTAAACTGTATATTTTCAAGGTTAAAAAAACTGATCGAAATTGTCAGGCGTATGCAATTATGAAGAGTAGGGAATTGCTCTGCTTTTGTGGTTTTATAAGTCAAGTCACTCTGAAAACTGAAGATGGGAACAAGACGATAATATTAGAGCTTTTCAGACACTCAATACTGCACGAATGGGTAAGAAGAACCATTTTGAAGAGTTTATCGTCGGGTCAAACATAATCAAGTGGTCAAAATTTAGATTTAAGTTTTTGGAGGCTTTCAAAGGAACTGAGAAAACTAGCCTATGATACACGAACAGTTTCATTCCAACCAATCAGCTCTCAGCTTGTTGGCGACAGCTGATCGGTAACCCGATCAGCTGTGTTCACTGTAAACTCGGCGTGGACACGATAGGCTGGTAGTCTACATGAAGTCCTTGGACAGGAACAACATCTATTCACGTAAACGTAGCCACCTCCGCTGTGGCAGTGTAACGTTTTTGTCGTTATGATCCTCGGAGCTCATGCCGGCTGAGTTTGGAACTAGTCAGATTAGCCACCCTGGATAATGCTCTCGTCCATGAACGCAGTCATCGAGAGAACAGCTCGGACTGGAATTTTCAGCAATATATATTGTACATTTTTCGGTTGAAGTGGACAGAGCAGAATTTAAGCTTCATCACCATCAGGCCTTCAACTTGCAACTCGGACTTGCTCGGTGTCTTCAGTGGTGTCAAACTGATCCAATTAGGGGCTCCAGATGCGGAGGATCTACGAAATCTACATTCTTACATAACAGCCTCTTCGACAAGGTTATTGATTATGTAAGTATCCCAGTGGATATTCTGCATCTCTTACCTAATCTGCTCCTGTTTAAAAATTGTTCACTGACATGGAACAAAATCATGGGGCCTGAATGTCCAGTGTCGCGGGAGCTCTTTGATCACAGTCAAAAATGTGCCGGTGCCTCGCAATGTTTGTAAGAACAGTATGCCACCACTTGCATTCCAGTGTTTCCTCTTCATTTGAGCCGTTTGGGCGTTCGACATCAGGTACTTAAGTACCTGATGAACCTATGTTGGCGACGTGGCAAGTTGTCACAGTTTCTGTGGTCATCTCTGTTCCAAGCTGTCCTTGGTAAAAGGTTTGCGAAAGACACATTGTCGGGATATGTCGGTGGAAAATGAAATTCACTACTGTCACATGAGAGTTTTTGGATCTTCGTGCCTTTCTGTCTCGGTTCCACGTGATCCTGAATGCAAGTGGTTGGGAATATTAGAGCAGAAGTTTCCACAGCCTATATCAGTAATGCATGCTGCCATTATCGGCCTCATTGCTCAGTTAAAGTTCTCCTGTACCGTGGAGGCATGTCGAGTGAAGTTCTAATAGGAAGCTGGGTCAGTCCCGTTGATTGCACCTTACTCAAACGTGACGCTCAGATGTGTTGCCTTGAATGCTGTCTAGACACGTAGAAACCCTATCCTAGATGGTTTTTCTCTCATCAAGTCCCTACGCTCCCCTTTTCATTTCACTCTTTACCAAGGTTTCCTCATGTTTGTGTGTACACACACCAGTAGGTACTACTGATTCCTTGCTCCTAGTGATTACGGTGATGACGATGCATGTTTGCCGATTAATTATACAGTTGGGGTTCCGGGGATTTTTTAAACCAGCCTGAATTATCGATAATTCTACTCATGGACTGCCGGAAGAATCCACTTGTTATTACTATGAAGACACAACCTAACCGATAACCAATCAGAAAATGAGTCATCAGTCTAGATCAGAGCCTGATAAAGCGTGATTTCTCTGCAGTTTATAGGACAACGTGAAATTGTGTGGTTTCGTGAAGCATGGAGGGAGCTGACCGCTCAGAATAACTCATCTTGTGTTCAACAGTGTGACTCAAGTTTGTACGAACTTAGGTGTACCCTGTCCACCTTTAGATGAAGGCATTTGAAAATAACTGGAGTTTACTTACTTTTTGATGAGACTGCAGCGTTTACAGACGAAGAGAAATCAATGGTTTCGTCAAGCATTGGTCATGTTTTCTGATCTCCAAAAAATGCTTCTCCGGTTTAGGAGTGACAGGGTCTCTATTGGTGAATGTAACGCACCACAGTCCAATGGTAATGTGCCCGGGACCAGGACAAAGTAGTTTCTTCCAAGGTCTTTCTTTTCCGCTAAATAGATTGAGAGAGGACCACCTTAATTTTCATCAGGTCTGGAATCACTTCTCACTAAGGTGAATTTCTGCTCAGTCGCTGCACATTGAATGAGTGTGGCAGAATGGATTACCTAATCAGAATGCTGAAAAGCTTGAACTCCGTACCTCAGCGTCACGCTATCTGAAATCTGCATGACCTGAAAGATCTAACTGGTGGGAGTTCAATGACATGGGATGGATCCATCGAACAAACTGGGATTGTCACTGTAGCAACTCTCCGTCCACTCGTTACTGTCAGCTTGGCCAACGTGAACATAGCAAGCGTGTTGTCTGATTAGTTTGACAAATCACTTGACTGGACGGCAGTCGATCATCAGATTGTCTGCTGCATTTTCATGATCGTTCTCTGATTGGCTGTATAGAAAATATAGGATTAGCGAAATACACTCACTTGCAAACAAATCTGGTTTTTTGGGAGGCTCATTTGGAACTCAGCTGAATCTCTCGTTTGTGGTGTTTTCAAGCAAATGAGTGTGCTTCACCAGGCCACCTCATGTTTCAGTTGCTACGACATCCGAGAAATTGTGATACATTTAGTGCACTACTCATAAGGTTGCTGAAAATTCCACAACAGCCCACGACATCATTAGTGTTGATTCCCGAACAGGCTGTAAGACGTCTGTTGTACGGATGCTATCAGCGGAAACTGAATTTTTTGAAGATCTTCTACAGCAACTCACACACATTTGTATATGAATTTGTCCTAACCCCTTGTTTCCTTGCCCTTTAAGGCAGTGTGCGCAATGCAACAAGTCCAAGACATGGCCGGCTTTTTCCTTTTTTCCGTGTGTACATATCAGCTTTCTCGATGTGTGTGCACCTTCTGGTTTGGCCTGACATCATGCGATCATAGACAAACCGGTCCAACTGTGAGAATTGCCTAAAATTTATCATCCCACGGACGGTTTAACCCTTCTTGGGGCTCATCAGGTAGGCACAGTCCCCGAGTTTCTGCAAAACTTGTGTTTCGCTTGAATCCAAATAAGGACAGCGGATACGATTACCCACCAGCTTTTTCCAAGCAAACGACAGGTGATGCTCGTAAAGCGAATGTGCAACCGGGAAACCGGTTTAATGTCAACGCACTGGGCCTCAATAATCTATCGTATCGAAAAAGATGAATAATTTGACATGTTATTCAGTCCTGAGCGGCCCAATTTGCAACCCATAAATGGGCCTGGAAAAACGCTAAATAGACGTTAGTGTGCAGCCGGAAAAAGCTTTTATCACATGATTATGACCTATTCAAAGATTTTTGTGCACACAGAAATGGAATAGGATCTACGTGGCCTCAGTACTATACAAAATATTTTGGTTTTTATTCATTCCTTGACCGGTTTACTGTAGGGGTTTGAAAAGGCAGGTTTTCAGTTTGACCGCGTGGTTGCTCGAAAGATGTGTTTTGGCGTACGTTCATCCACGACAGCAACAGAATTGATCGGTACACCATCTTACTTCACTTCTTCGAAGACCAGTGCCTTAGTCGTCTGTATCGTCCATAGTTGCGCAGCACTCTATCCTCGACCTATGGCGGATGTCATCTTGCGCTCTATGTTTTCCGTTCACTGGTTACCTTCAAATCACCGTATACCAGATAGCCTCCTGAAATGTAGCCATCTGAAAAAGAAGTGCTTGCTTACTTTAAATCATTCGGTTGAGAACAACAAAACGAATGTATGCATGTCGCGGCACAGATCCTTCGTTTGCTTTGATGCGGATGACTTTATCGTCAACCACATGGTGCCAAATTAATGAAGTCAATCCTGAGGAGTAAGCAGCCAGTGAAGTGGCAGGGATTTTTGATGGGGTGTTCCACGACTGCCCTTCGAACGAGGATCTGTGTAGAGACTTCTTTGTTGCATTGTTTTGCAGAATTTCAAGCTTAGCAATCGACCAGAGGAGTAGTTGTAGCCAAGATCTTTATCAAAATAAACTTTGCCGCGTGAAAGCTCTTTTAAACTCCAACAGAAGAACCGCATTGGGTTTGAACGTGATACTGAAGAGTTTTCATGGATTGAAATGCATTACTTCTGCTCAGGAGAATCATCATTCTGGTGTTCACGAAGCCCCGAATGGGCTGCACGATCGATTTCTAAGACCGGTCGCTGATTGGTTTATTTTTATAGAGCTTTAAATAGAACCCTCTTCCGAATGTCTTGTTAACAAAAAGATATATGAAATCGATATGTACTCTCCTTTGCAAACGAATTTGGTTTTGGCAAGAGATTCAACTGAATTCGGCTTCATCTCTCGTTTTCTAATGATCTACTTCGAAGAGATTTTAGATGCCTTATGAGTAGTATGTTACTTCTTGTTGCCAATATGTCTCGAAAAACGTATCGCATCTTCTGAAATGAGTCAACTTTAACGGAGTACAAAGTATCTGATTGCTATATGCGGGGTGAGGTGGGGGCTATACCCTCAGATGATTAGAGCAGAAAGCTAGTTTTCAATCGTGTTATCATCGTCTTATCATCAACTTGTCTCTACAATACATTTTTGCCAGGGTGTCAGCGGTGGTTGCGTGCAAACATCAAACTTGAATTACGCCAAAGTCACGTGTGAAGAACGTGATAAACTTCAATGATAGACTACTAGCTTCGGAGAAAATATAGATACTTTTGACAACGTTCCGGAATGTGGACAATTGATAAGTTGCAGGTGGACGTGTAAATCGCAGGGTCTCTAAATCAGAGCTTGAAGAAATGTGGTTTAATTTGAAGAACTAGAACTGGGCGTGATCCAGGAGGACCATCATTTGACCATATGGAGATGGTTTCACATAATTGCCCCTGTTTATTGGGTCCTTAAGACTTAGTTTTTCTGATGCATCCCCAGTAACATGTCTTGTTTGCGTCTTGTCCTCTTGAAAACAATCGGGTTGGCAGTGCACACAAATGATAAAGCGGACTTCAAGTGTGATAGCTTTGAATCTATATCACGGACAGTTTTTTGCTACAACACTGAGGTTTGTTCATCTTTGAGGCATTTCAGCAGTTATTTTTATCACACGTCAAGGTCATCAGAATTTGTAAAATAAGTTGATAATTAGATACGCTAAGCTCAGGGGTCCTAATGATCGGCCGTAATTGGTGAACACGTTTCTGGATCTGTACACAACCAGCATTTTTTCATTAGAATGGTTCGCCATATCCAAAAAAAGCTGCAGAACAAATTTCTGGCAAGAATCCATCGTGACAACGATTTCTCAGAGCTCCAGATGCATGAGTGGTTAAAGCAAGAACTTCTACCAGGAATCCAATCCTGACATCTCGACCGCTCCTCTCGATAGCCTTGGGCAACCTGACATTATATCAGCCCTTCCACTCACTTTGGGTGGCATAACGGCTAGGCACCAGAAGGGTGTCTCGGCTGAGCGATTACAGTTCATGATACTATTGCTGTTTCTCGAGCGCTTCGGTGCACGTCTAATCGAACTATTGGTATGGCAGTTTCCATTAAGATGAACTTCATCCTAAGAGAAAACAGCATCATGGTGGTTGATCTTATCTGAGTGGAATTCACATCACTGAAATCTACCCTTTTCAGTGACTAAACGAAGGAAACGCGTTTTTGTGACTACTAGGGAGGTCAGATTCCTGAAAGGGATCACTGGATGCCCGAAGTCTACTGAGACCCTCAACTACACTAGATGCTGACCAGACAGACAACGCCCCCTCAGTGTGCAGCACATGACAGCCTTGTATCGAAGCCATACAGCGCATGACAGCGTTGGACCAAGGTCAGACAGCGTCCCTCCAATAAAGTAGCTTGGAGCGGTCGTACTTTCGCACCCACTTGTTCTCAGCAAAGCTGTTGTGTTTCCTATCGGCGAGTCCTTTTCCGGCACTAGGTACCGGAGCAGGAACAGCAGATATAACCGTGATCTGAGAAGAGCTAGTATGTATATTACTATAAAAAATATCATCGTATTTAATGATCAGCTGTCACTTAAAAAACGATCCTCATTACTAAGATTGCTGAAACACTACCCATCTACACTCCAAGTTAGTTCCTGACTGAATTTGATAAGTTAGCAAAGGCTACCCACCTATCTTGTGCCTTATGAATCGGTCATAAGAAAGAACAAGTCACACCACGGGCAGAACTCCCATCTGAGAAGTCTTCGTTCGAGGAGCCAGCCAACATGTTAATACTTGGTGCGAATCCCGTGATTAGATGATTAAATGCCTGTTTTAGTGAGAGTTGGTCACACAACTGATAATTTACACGTGTCCGAATTGATAGGCCTCAAGTCGGGTTTGGCTCGGAACTCCATGTAAGAATCCTCCTTGATTCATTTTCGAAAAAAAGTTTGGTGACAATCGGTAGACTTATTGCTGGGCAACGTTTCGCTTTTCGCACAAAAGCTTCATCAGTCCAAGTGAGCAGGTCACTCAGTCGGTCAGGTTTTGAGGCAGACTTAAAATATCTTCATTTTAGCGCACTAGATCAGTGTTGAGTGTCAATCAACGTCTCTTGTCGGTTGATATGGTTGCCAAAATCTTGCGTTGATGAGTTGGGGGAGTTTCAAATTAGTTCCGATCGGATTTGGTTCCTTAATCTTCCACTTCAGGGTGCTTCAAGTGATGAATCACCTCGGGTGCCAGATTTCGTTGGTCTTCGTTGGCTTGTGAGTGTTACGGCAATTTACTTGGGGAAGGGAAAGTAAGCGAGATTAAGTGGAAAAAGTTTAGAACTCATTGAGAAATCACTGCTTCAGAAGGGCTTGATAGTCTTCAAAAAAGAGATTAAGTGGAATTCAAATGATGACTACTGCTCCTTCTGATAACCGACCCGTGTCAGCTCGACTGATCCAAAGCCGTTCTCCACATGCTTGTCGGTTCCAGGCCTTCTGTTGCGTTAATACTGGAATGCTTGGTCAGCATTCCTCGTGTTGTGAACCGTAGTTCTCGCCTCAAAACCTCAACATTTTCTACCCCATGTCCAGCGTATGTTCCGCCATTGCCGAGTTTTTCACTAACGCTCATCTGCGCTTCTCGGCGGCTTGTTTAGTTTCTTCCCATGCTTTCGGATTCTGGTGTGAAGTTCTTTGGCCGTCTGTTCTATACAGACCTCAGTGCAGTCGTTACATTCAATTTTTTTTGGACACAGTCCCTGGTTCTGTTCAATTACACCAATTCAGAGTGTTTCCCCTCTGAGAAGCTACTATTTCCACGTGTGACCGGGTGAGTTAGAATCACGCAAAAATAATGGTTCTCCATAAGGATGAGACAGCAGTGTACAGTGCTTCTAGGTTTTCTCTTATTGAGCAGACTTGAGTTGCAATGCTCTTTCGGACCATAGATCGAAGCCATGTAGAACAGCTCGATATTTAACGAAGTCCAGTAGATTACTTTTTTCACTATACTGTTAAAACGATTCAGTTTTCCAGTCCCCGTTCAGTTTTGGCTTGGTTTTATCAATATTCTGGTCAAAACTGCTGGAAGCTGATAATTAATATGCAGATTTCTCCATCTTTACTATTTTCAATATCTGGCGAAAAACACTCCAGTATCCCTTGATATTCCCCAGAGAATAGACTAGTCTG